TCAGCGTTATCGGTATGCCAGTAACGGCTCAACGGTCATGATACGGGGTGAGGATGGCTGATCCCAGGCCATGGGATTAGGATACATTTTAAGAAGGTAATAGATTATTATTGCAACATTTACTCTGTGGTGTTGTGATACTTTGTGCATCGTATCTGCGGCGCCCGACAAGCGCATCTAGAAATTCTAACAGTTATCCGCGTGTTTTCGTGATCGACCTGTTTACACTATGGTATTTTTATCGGTCAGTGGTGCGCCCGTTGTCCCACACTCATTTGGGTACGGCAGTCACTTTTTGGTTTAATTAGTCGTCCACTTTAGTGGCCTATCTCCGGGAGCCTTGATTTGGATCCTATGGGTATTGAATCAGGTCCAAGTTGAGCGCTAACCACTTGAGCTCAAGTGTCTAGCGATGCAGATAATACTGCCCCGGTGAATCTGTCGGAGCCGCACCCGGCGAGCCAAAGTAACGACGCGATCGGCAGCGGCAGCAACAAAGACGGCAGCAACAACGGCGTCGACGGTGGTGAAGACAACGACGACGACCCGAAGATTGCGACTCCGTCATCTCCAACCACTACTCTACCAGTATCCTCGTCTCCAGCCGAAGGCCTGGTGACAGTGACAATAGTGCGTGGATACGAATTTCGGAAGCGGATGTGGCCATTCAGGCGTACCCGGCGGTCGGTGATATCCACTGAGTTGGATATATCTATTTCATCAACAACTGCAGGACCGTGGCGACCGGGTTCGAGTGTCAAGTAACATGAATTGACGATTTGGATTAACCAAAACCTGATTGGATTGTTTTGCAAAACCAGTTGATCGTTGCGGTAATGTGAACCTCGTCGAGACGTTTGCCGTGTGCCTACGTTAGTGCCCGAACCATTAGCTGTCAAACCTAGTGTAGATCAGCAGTAACGCGCTAGCCTTCAGATGGAAACGACATGCGTGCTTGTCTCATGCGTCCCAGAAAGCACTCGAGCTTCTCAGCCATCAACAAGAAAACGAAAACGCACGACTCCAAGAAAAATGAACAGGGTATTTACTGAACGCGGTTAGCACCATGGTTTCGCTCAACGAAGGCTTTCACAAGCTCGTCGAGATTGTGAGATACTGCTCCAATGCGTTCCCAAGGTGCAATGTAAAGCTCGGTATCAAGACTCTGCATAATCGCTACGATGGGAAAGGTGCCGGTACTATGACAATTGTGAGACGTGCACTTTCCGACGACAAGGAAGTTCGTGTGCTCAAGCCAGGCGTGTACCGGTTCCAAAATGGGTCGGATAGCTACCAGCATCCCACGCTAGAGAAGGCTCAATCCTAACGTGTGGGGTCCGGTAGCTTAAATCTCAAGCTGGGCGTGTACCTTGTCGGTGCATACAGGCGCAAGATGTGGGCTCAGTGCTTCGTAATGGAAGTCGCTGTGAATGAAGCAATCATCGTACGCGAGAATTGGATTGACTCAGGCATCGGCAACCATAGGTGGCTTTGCATTAACAACTTCGTCCCAGCGGTAGGGGATATAAAAATTTCCTGGGATGAGTGACCTACTCCTGGGACCTTTTTGTCAACTTTTCGTAGGTTTCAGTGTACCACCAAAAGTCTTACGAACTTTATGCGATGCGTTGTGCGGAGGAGCATATTGTTTGGATTTTATTATTACACTATCCTTCCACCATACAAATTCTACCCATTTTTTGCGAAGTTTTACAGACTTAGTTAAGATACAGATACCGAGGTATAGCTTGACCTAAAATCCCCCCTGTGTCGTGCCATTATCGTATCAAAACTACAGTAGTCAGAATCGGTTAATGAGTCTACGGAAGCGATGTCGCAGACTTGAAACGTCGAAAGTATAATCGTGTCCAGTTTTTTATTGTCAGTTGAGAGTGGAACCATTCACAATCGAGTTGCCGCATCGGAAGTAGACAAAGCGCCCGTATTATAGTCAGTTAAGGCAAGAAATTCATGATGATCCACATGGACAGTTTCTCCCGACACCGTGTCGTCTGCATGTATAGTCAATATTTCTATCGAGTTGCTATACGGCGTTGACACTCGAAGTATTCGATACTAAATTATTTATGAAACAGACAAAGTAATTTTTAAATTTGAGTCATTTATTGCAATTTTTCAATAGAATATTGTAAGCTCATACATCATACAAACTCAGAAGATCAAGTTCAAAAAATGACTGACCATAAGATGCCAAATTCCCGCCTCATATGCGCGTCTTGCAACGAGATCAGTCTCAAATCTTCGTGTGCCAAATGCAGTGGAAAATTATCAACTTCAAATGCCTTTGATTGTGCACGACTTGGGCTCCTCTTGGAGCTACAAGAGCTTATACATCAGGTATTCATTTCTCTTTATCTTGATGTTTTTACAGAGTGGGGTTAAATACTTTCTAGAAACTAGGATCCAAACTTCGACGTGGGTGCATACGATACAATTTCAAAGGCTACGCTTCTGCATCACGCGGCTATGAGTGGCAAAATGGGTGTATTGGAGTGAGTTTCTTATTGCTAATTCGTGATTCTATCACTTCATTGTTAATGGATCCAAACAAAATTTGATAGATTCCTCTTAGGAGACGAAAAGCTTCGAGCTCAGGTAGACGTGGATGCTTTAGATGGCAAAAATTATACAACGCCATTATTTTGGGCCGCACAATCGAATCAAATCTACGCAGTTGAACTGCTTCTGCGGCATGGAGCTGATCCAAACTTTCGCAATGTACAAGGTTTTACGCCATTTTTAACAGCAGTCTATCGCTGTTTTCCTATTACAGCAGCGTATTTTGTGGCAAAAGGCTCTGATGTGAATCAACAGATGCAAGGTGATGTGACTGGTGAAGTGAAGGAGACGCAATTGGTCTGTTGTGTGACTGAAAAAACTTTTATTGGTTTGACGGACTAGATGGAAGCCAGAGAACGGCATTGATGCTGCTTTGTCAACCCCAACAGTTTCACTTGGACTCGTTTCGAATGGTGCTGAGCTTACAGGTGGCTTTGAATGCACAAGATGCAGATGGAAACACGGGTACGAATGACTTTTATGCATTTGAATACGTCATTTTTAATCAAACAGAGGATTTTTGAACAGCTCTTCATCATGCAGCCATAAACAACATTGCTTTGGCTGTACGAATGTTGCTTGACGTAAAAGCTGACTCCACGAGAATGAACAAAGACGGCTTAACTCCATTAGCTCTCGCACGTGCACGTCTTGAACCTAAATCAACTACCCTTTATCTATTAGTTGAGGACGAACAGCTCAAAAATCTTGCTCAGAGACTCGCCATTTCTGTACGTGCGTTTCAACAAGTCTGGCAGTAACATTGTTTTAACTTATCATGCATTAACTAGAAACACTTTCTCGAGAATAATCTGTCTAAGCTCGCGTTTTTCGTGCCATGGGTTATCCTCCCTCTTACATGCTTCATATTCTCGACAGTAAATGGAGCTCTATACATCACGCTATCACTCTTCGTTCTGCTGGTTGCGGCGATGTTACTTTTGAAAATGATTCAACGAGGAAGTTACGGTGACAAGCGAAAAGCAGCCTCATTGATGTTTGGGATGAATGTCGCTTCAATTGGTTATCTTGTTGGAAGTTTTTTTCTATACTGTGGCTACTGCAGCACGATCTTCTGCAGTTTTGCAATAATTTGTTTTGTAATGCTTGGAGTCACTTTGTTTCAAACAGCCACTTCAGATCCAGGGGAAGTGTTCACTTCGTATGACCAAAAATTGCATGTAAGTTGATCTTGTACTATATCGTTACGAAGAACAAATTGACCATTTTGATCGTTTTAGAATATTCGCCATCTTGTTGAGTCCAAGTCACCCAATGCTACGAAATTATGCCTCACTTGCTTACACAAGAGGCCATTGCGCGGAAAGCACTGTGCTGAGTTGAATTCATGCGTTGCAAAATTTGATCACTATTGCCCTTTTGTGATAAATGCCATCGGTGAACGAAATCACGCCGCGTTTCTTGGTTTTCTCGTTGCAGCGGTACTTTCAATTAGTATGGAACTGATTGCTTGCTGGCGTTATGCGCAAGCTCAACCTGAAGCTGCGATAGATTTGACCATCCAATGGCAATGGTGGAAGTGGAAAACGACGTTGTGGGATTTTTCTGTGAGCAATCATGTTAACATTCCAAAAATATTATTCAACTGGATTTGGAGTCTCGCCCATTTTTATCCAGTGCTCTTTTGTGTCATGTTCTTGGACCTGGTACAGATTGTGTGGATTGCCTACATGCTTATCTTTCACATTTACCTTATGTGTGCTGCCCTTACAACGAATGAAGTTGTGAAGAACGAGAATCTTGATCGAGTGTATTCACGTGGCATCTGGAACAATGTGGTGGATTTCCTGGGATTACCAGGTTATCAACCAATTGATTGGCGTCGCATTTATAGTTTAGACGATTTTAAGTGTCAAATTGAAAAGTCATCGGGTTTAATGCGAAAAGAAGCGTGATGAATGATTTTCTATACAAGAATCGAAAGTTGTGAGTCAAAACTACAATAACAACGATGTCTAAGAAGCTATTTCTTGATAAATATGATCACGACAATCGCTCGATACAGCGTAGACGAGCACTGCGTGAGCGGGAATTGGTCGCAATCTCATGGTCGCTTGCTTTGATGGCTTTTCGGCGTATAAGACGGAACCTTTTAGTGCTCAATAAATCAAAGATCCCAACGTTTTCGTCATTTTCAGTGTCTTCACCGTCCCACTCTTCGTCTTCATCCTCATCATTGTCGATTCTGCTTTTTCTGTCCTGTACAGCGCAGTAATAAGCAGCATGCATAACGATTAAAATCGACTTCAAGCGTATCTAGTAGTAAACGCACCAATTCGCAGAAAAATTTCTTTATTGGTCGATCTTCAAGTGAATGGAAAGCTATCGTGACTTTGCAATGAACAAATAGTGATTAACATGATAAAAATCACACAAAATTTTGGCTTTACCTAGTCGTCCTCGGGGCTTTAAATGATTCACAAGTTGCTTGACGCCAGTATTTACATGATCAAGTTCATCATTCACATATATTCGCAGTGCTTGAAAACAACGCGTCGCCGGATGAGATCCTCCTTTTCTATTACTGCGTTTGCCGTTTTTCTTTCGAGAATGTTTGGAATTCCACATATTTGCTATACGTTCAATGCACTCGCGTAACTCTTTTGTTGTTTGAAATACTTTATCTCTTTCTTCTCGTTCTCGTACAATCGCTTTGGCAAATTCTTTCGCCAATCGTTCTTCTCCATAATCTTTAAATATCCTTGTTAATTGAACTTCAGAGAGCGAATTCACAACATCCGCCGCTGTTCGTTGTGTCACATCTTGTTGGTTAAACCTCATGTCCAACGGTCCATCGTTGATGACACTAAATCCCCGTTTTGCAGCATCAAAATGATAACTATTAGCGCCAAGATCAACAAGAATTCCATCTATTTCATCTGGAAAGGCAGCAGCTTGTAAATGTTTGTCCAAGTTAGCGTAAGAGCCAAGTTGAAAACTCACGCGGTCGTGAAAATCGGCTAAATTTGCTTGAGCAATACTCAATACCTCAGGATCGCGATCTATACATAGCAAATGAGCTCTTGGAAAGTGTTGCAAAAGACCTTTGGCGTGGCCTCCAAATCCTGTAGTGCCATCAACAAAGTAACGAGGCTCAACTGTGTCTGAAATGTCTCGAGAAAACGCAGCAATTGTCTCTTGAAACAAGACAGGAACGTGTACAAAATATTGCGCCACATTATCAGCATCTTTATCGGTAAAATACGATGATGAAGAACGAAAGGATGATAAGCTTGAGAGATTGAGAGCTCGAGAAACGTGCCTACGGACTAGCAGCATACTAGAATTTCTTGGTATATTCATATTTAGGTTCACGTACGTAAAATAAGGTTCAACGTTTAGACACATCTATGTTATATTTGCAAAGGACCTAATTTAATTAATTGCACCTAAAGTGGAGCGTTACATTTGAGCAATGTCAGAGCTTCTTCACGCGTCAGATTATGTGGTTGCTCGTCTTGACGCCATAAAAACTTTTGCGGTTTTCGACGTGCATTCACCTCTCGAGTCAGATATTCCAAAGCTTCAGTCTTCAAATTGAGACGAATACTTCGTGATGTGCTGTCTTGTGACTGCTCGAAATGCACAACATTACATTCAGCTAAAAAGCCTAAAGTCTGTTTGATACTCTCACTGCATAAGGCCTCGGCATGGAAAAGCTGTTGGCGTGAAAATAACTTTTTTGCTAAGGTTTGCACCCGTCGTATAATTTCACGCTCTGTAATAGTATTCTCAACACAATCAGATAAACTCCAAAGGCCTTGAATCGTAAGCCACCACGAGTCCATGAACGACCAATTTAACGACAACACAAAACTCACAAGCTTCATGCGGTTCCAAGTGTTCATAGCCACTACCACCGTGGCCGAGGTTTCGTCCACACAACTCGTGAAATGCTCAGTAAGAAAGCTATCCACGCGGGTATCAACGTTAATCATTGCATGACGACAAATGTGACGCAAAAATTGCCAGATCTTTCGAGCCTCTAGCTTCACTGCTTCGATATCGATTTTCCGCAAAGTCTCATTACATCCATCACATCTGAAGCTTTGCCATCGTAAAACCGTATCCAGCGCACTAATCACAGCCATGTCAGGTAAGAAAATATGCAGCAAGTGATTTCGGTAAAAGCCAAGCTCAAGCGCTCGTACTGGGCAACGCAAGTGAGGCGTGACAATATCATTAACCATAACCTCAATATTTAATATGGACAATGCGTGAGCAGCGATAGCATCGATGTCAACGTGTGTTACCGTTGCTTTACGCTTTTTTAACTCACCAACAAGCCAAAATGTGCGACTTTCAAGCATTGCAGTTGTCATGTACGCACGTTTCCACATCAGTAATGCTGAAACAATTGCAGTTGAAGTGATAGTTCCTGATATTTGCATCCGCTCAGCCACAAGATTTGCCGATTCCTCAAGCGAAGATGTGTGTGTTAATGGTACAGGCTCACCGAATCGGACGTATGAGTGGCCAAGACGTACGAAGAAAAGATCCCACATCGACCGAAGTAAACCCACGAGACTTTCCTTTTCTTTGGGTTTACCAAGCAACTGATTAGCGTATCCATCAACTTCGTATACTTTCTCGTAGTCAAGTGAAATCGGAACAACCAGAATCGTTTTCTTCAAAGTGTCGTCCTCGTTGCCAGACTCTTGCGGTGTCCTTTGCTTTACATAATTTAGAAACATTGACATAAATCCCAAACGAGGTTTACAAACTCGACCATGACGTGAACGACCACCTTCAAGAAAGACTTCAATAGGATTGCCATCGTACAATAACTCATGAACGTAATTTTCCAGCACTTCTTTGTAAAGCAAATCATCTCGAAACGATCGACGAATAAAGAAACTTCCATTTGCACGCAAAAATTTACCAACAAGTGGAATATTTAAATTGTTTCCAGCTGCAATGCGGGGTAATGGAATGCCATATGCAAAGCATAAATAACTAATAATCAAATAGTCCAAATGGCTTTTGTGTGTAGGTGCAAAGACAATACTGACATCTCCTTCAGATCCTTCAAGTACACGACGTACGCGATGTAAAGACTCAACATCGACGTAAAGACCATGAAAAAGTAGACGCCACATCTTCGTAAGAAGCCAGCCAAGACATTTGACTGCTGGGAGAACCATATCGGACTTTAAATTCTCAAATATGTGCTTTACTTGCTCTATTTCCATTGTACTAGATGTTGTGACTCGAGTAAGAAGATTCTGATAATGTTTGTTAGCAGACAATGGTGTTCGACCTCGAAGATTTACGTCAGTACCAGCACGAGAGATAAATAGCAGATCTACAACTGCTAGCTTCACATCCATTAATTGACGAATCAAACTTGGCTGAAATCTACTTGTGGTCTGTTCACTTGCTCTTGCAGCACAGCGTTGTTCAATAGATGACAATAGCCACGTTGACTCCATAATATTCACAAATTCATATTCCCGTGGCGGTTGACCATCACTCTTTACTTTCGTGTCCGACATGAATTGTCTCGTGTCTTGCTGAAGCGTCGTCCAATCTTGATTTAGTGTCCATTTCTCTGTATTAAGGTACAATGATGCAGTTTTTACTGGTTCCGGACTTTTCTCTTTTGTCTTGACAGTAAGTGCAAGTGCCATACTTGATATAGCAACAACGCGACCCGAGGCTCTAGCCGCATGCTCTTGTTGCTGACTTGCGTCTGTTTTCTTGAGTAACGATCGCACTTTTTCCTGGTATTTCTGATACCGAAGTTGAAGCCTCCATGCAGTGTTATTAGGCATAAATAGTGGACGAAGATGCGCTGGTAGTGTTACTCCACGGGGCAAGTACAACGGAGCGCCACGCCATTCGTCTAGCCTGTGCTTTTTTCCCATTGGTTTTAACATTGTTACGTTTTAAAAAATGTTGCTGATTATGAAAGAGCGATCTTTTTATTCAAAATAGGTCGTTCTAAAATTAATTATAATTTTGACGTGAGATATCGACACTAATTCTTGGCAGATATATAGCGTTTCATAAAAATAAACGTAAGTTATAGCTAAGTATTTACATGATTGATCGAGAAATATGTCGGTTGCGGCAATATTGATGAGCTCATTTGTGTGGCAATTTCTGGTTCTCACACATGCTTAAATTTGTACACTAAGCACCAGAGCCACGTTGATTGACTCCTTGCGCGCCACCGGCGCATAAATCTCGAAGTTGTCCACTCCTGGCCGTTGAGTGAAGCCCTTGGCAACGAGCCGCGCCTTGAATTTGAGAATCTTTCCACTCGGCTCGCATTTAATTCGGAACACCCACCTGCACCCAATTGCCTTCTTGTCACTCGGTAGATCCACAAGCGTCCATGTCTTGTTCTGCGCCAGTGGTTGAATTTCACATTCCATTGCACGCAGCCACTTATCTCTGTATTTGCTTTGCTGCACTTGTTCGAACGTCGAATCGCTCTCGCCGTCATCTTCAGCGCTGAAACAGTACAACGCGTCGTGTTCGGTTTCACGGTCATCCAGGCTGAAATTTCCGCGCCGCAGATTTGGGAACTCATGTTCGTAGCGCAACACCGCCTGCTTCTTGCGCGCCATTCGCACATACGACTCGTTCTCACTGTCGCGTCCTGGTGTACCTGAACGGTGTGTTGGCATAGCGCCTCTTGAACGCTCATTCAGCACTTCCTCGACACATGCCGGAGCCCCTCTGGGTCCTTTCGGTGGGGTCTGGTAACTCGCCCTGGCTGTTGTGTCGCTTGGCTCTTGATCATGCTCATCATCTTTCACGACTTCGATCAGACTTGGAGCACCCTGTCTGTGCGTTTTTATTGTTGGCGCGTTTTCCGCAAATGTCACGCTGCGCGAGATAATAATTGCTTTCGTGCTTTGATTCAGCAGACGATACGCCTTGTGCTGCTTTGAGTAATCGAGCATCGGACAGCGCTGCCTGAATTGTAGAGCTTCCCCCGCACTGCCTTGGCTACGTGCGCGTAGCACTGGCTGCCGAACACGCGCATGTGCTGATTGCATGGCTTGCGTTTGAACACGTGCTCGAACGGGCTCGCGTTTGGACTCGAAGCACTTGGTACCACGTTGCGGATGTCCATAGCAGTCATCATAGCTTCGCACTAATAGACCTTGCTCATCTTGGACTCGCTTAGCATGCAGCAAGTCATCTCGATCAACGTGCAATTCATGCTCTCTGCCATGCCGTTTTGCTTTGGGTTGTGTGGCACCGTGAACTTTTGCTTGATTCTATGTCTTCAGCAGACGTTCTCCAACTCTGAGTTTCGATACTCGCCCTCTTTGTCGCTATGCAATACCTTGACGTCAATGTCGCACTCAAGCTTGATGTCGTGGTAGTATCTCCTGAACGCCGTCGGCACGTCGCTTTTCTTGCGTAGTGGGTAGATCCGCGCGAAGCGACTCCGCATCGCAATGAAACTTACAACATAGCGGTGTCCGGACTTGGACGCCGGTGAGACTGGTTCCAGGACGTCTGAGCATATGATGTTGTCCGTGCGATGTTTTTCGCTAGCAGAAGGATCTTCTTCGCTACTGTTGAACGCCTTTCGCACTTGTTTAGCCGTCGCACACACGTCGCACACAACACTTGCATCCACGCAGTCGCCATTGATGTGTTTGCACTTGATTAGTTTGTTCGCCGTCGTGTATGATACGTGCCCAAGCCGGCGGTGCCACAGCTCGGCCTCATTATCAACTGTGTGGCACTCAGCGCTCGGCTCAACGTCTAGCATCATGCTAATGCCACGCCTCGATCCCGTCGCGACAGTTCGTCCGTTTTGTTTTACGACGCAGCTGTTGCATGAGATATCGACTTTCATCCCACGCAATGCTGCCGCTGTTAGCGAAAACAGATTCTTTGTCAAGTCTTGCACGTGTATCGTGCTCTCAAGTCGCGCTTTCGTCTATCCTGTGCTATTCCAGATCTGCAACGTCACCGTGCCCTGTCCGAGCACCTTCAATCGCTCGCTACTTTTTGCACTCAATACGATGCGCGTCGTCGTAGCTTCAATGTACTCGAAACACGCTTCACGTTCCCTGCACATATGTGCTGTGGTGTTACTGTCCATTACCCAGCAGTCGCCCGCGCTTTCTTCGCTTGCGCTGAATGCCACGTTTGGGTGGTGTTCATGTTGGTTGCCGTTGCCACCGTTACCACTAGCCTTCGCCCAGCAGCGCGTAGTGTCCGCGCTTTTCACAATTGTAGCACTGAATATTCGCTCCCTTTTTGCGCTGACCGCCACTCTTTCTGGCGAACTGGCGCTTTTCGTGTTGCTTGTCCACGTGTAGCGCTGTTTCGCTCTCAATGCGGCATGATTCCTGCTTGCGCACCTCCTCGGCGATCAGATTGCTTACGAGATTGCTAAAGCTGAATTGAGTCACACTCATGCGAAATGTCTACACCACGCTCTCGTACGACGCTGGCAGGCTGCGCAGCATCGTCGCGCACACATCCTCTTCATCTGGTTCAAAGTTCGCGCTTCTTATCTGCAGCACTAGTTGCTCTAGCTCCATCAAGTGCGCGCTCATGTCCGTTGCCATATACTTGAATGAAGCAAACTTCTCCTTGAGCTGTAGCTGGCTTGCCATGTCCTGAGTTTGGTAAAATCCCTCGAGTGCTGCCCAGATTTTGTGAGCACTAGTAGCATTCATGAAGTGAACCAGCTGGGAGTCCTTCAAGTTGAGTACGATCGCCGCATGCGCTTGCTGCTCCTTTGTCGCCGTGACGTCTGCTCTACCGAGCACTGCATCCCACAGTTCCTTGGACATGAGGTACATCTTCATCTTGAACGCCCAAAGCGCGTAGTTATGACCCGTCGAATGGTTCCATCTTGAGCGTAGCGTCCAAATAACCTCTTTATAATTGAGTCGAACGCAGAGGATTAGAATGAAGATGGCTTGTGGTCGAAGAGGTAAACCAAAAGTGATGTGTTCAAGACTTAGTTCACATTACAGCTACATCTAAGCTTAATTGATATATCTACATAAAGAACTTTCGGAGAATATTCTGCACCCATTATATTCCCACTGTGAACCCATGTTAATGGGTTGTGTATCCACAATAACGCGTTCTGATTCCTCTCTAATCATCTTCAACAACTTGCGAATAACACAAAGCCGCAGCATCACCTTCAACACTCTGTACTCCAAGGGAGACGTACATTTCATTGAGTGCGATTCCGATAAATTTGAATCACAGGTTGGTGTCGGAAGTGTCGTATGCTGCGAAAGATATAGCGAACTCGCGAATATCATAATTCCGCTACCACGAGTCGATCGTCGTTCACGCTGCGATCGTGGAGTAACCTACATCATAAAGAAGCAAGACCTGTACTGCGATACGCTTATTGCTTGGTCTGACCACCACGTTGATGTTGCCATATACTAACTCCAGTTGGGTGCCATCAATTCATGACATTCATATTCCTAACACCGCAACAATCATAAGCATTAATGCCAAGAAGATTTTCGTGAAATGCTACAGAATCGTTACCCTTTAGCTGCAAACCATCGAGGAGAGAATATCAAATGTCGGTTACAAACTAATCCGATACAAAAATACCACATTATGTGCAAAAGACGGATGTGACTCGTATCGTCAAGACTAGCAGATATTGAGATAATTGGTGGTGAGCAGCCCATGTGTCCGACGAACTCCTCCGTTTGAGATACCACCACTGTTATCATACATAATTCTAGATCATTGCACTTTACTGCAATACTTCACCACCCCCTGGTACCTTTGAGCTAATTTACAAGACCGAAGAGCCTCAAGAAGACCAAAAACATAATATCGATGGTTACGGATTATTGGGAATTGCAGACTGACCAAACGCACCAGAGCATACGATGAGGTTTCTACCAATTGCCTTGTTTTACACGTATGCATGCGTGTTTACCAACTTGTGTATGTGGACCACCAGAACTTTCCAAGTCTTACGTATTTTCTCTGCCACAATGAGAGGTATGATGTGCCTGATACAGAATTCTGTACTTGAGGTCCCCATCATGCGAAAATATCACGGGTCTGTCTTGATATACCGCATATATACAGCAACCTTTAGATAAACGGGTATGCGTTGGTATAGATTAAGCTTTGAGATAAGGGGTAAGCGGTGAAACGCGCATGTAAAAGCCTAAGTGAAGCGATATTCTATCTCATATTCTTGATTTTCAAAGGTTTTGGCAGCGCTTTACACGCTCGTACGATGTAAAGATGGCATCGTCGATGCGTGTCGTCAATATTACAAACCTTCACAAACAACATATAGATGATGCAAAAGTGCGTTAACTGCCATAGCAAGTTGATTAGGTTTTACGGATATTTATGCAATAAGTAGTTCATTTTTTTGCAAAAGGTGGGACAACGATCTTGCTCTATGAGACGACGCATGTCCCGTATGGATCTCAAACAGCTGTGCAGCCGTATTCTAAGTTGGACAGCAGCACATTTTCTGGCAAGTAGCTCGTTCTAGTAAGAAATAATGTTTTTTTTTACTCCATATTTAAAACACAAAGGCAACTACATGTCGATTCAATGCAAAACATCCTTCAAAACAAGTATCAAAGCACCACAGCCATCGCCTGATGCAATATCCATATCTGGCGAGCCAAAAAGCATAAGGTCGCATTTAACAGCCTCATACGCCGTCGCATGCTTCGCACCTCGACACTATTTGGTATTCTTTTAGAAAAGATTGGCAAGGTTTATTGGATTGTTAGTATAGCTTGCACTTTACTTGGCAAGTAGTTGACTAGACAAAACCCTTGTGTGTAGAGCTTGCGAGTTCCATTCAAAGATGACGAAATCTAAAAAAACATTTCTAAAATGGTGCCCATCAGCTCTCTACAGTCATTTGTTCACGTTGGTGGGCAGCTTATAGAAGCATGTACACTTGAGCACAATGTGCAATTTCTCAATATATATATATATGTCTACATTTATACCACGCTGTGTACGATATGGGAGAATATATTATCGAACTACGTCTGCGCATCAGCACCATGAGATTTTTGGAGCTGCGACATCCAAATGTTGAGCTTCGGAAATGCGTAAGACAGCCCGGGATGAAATTAAAAGTCACCGCGCTGACTTAACTGAACAATTAAAAATACTAAACAACTAGATCGAGGGCACTAAAAAGGTGTAGCCAACTATGCTATAAAGCAGAACATGCTTTTTAAAATCGGCATTTAAGCCGGAATGACCGCTGCAAACTACTTACAACAAGCATGTACGATAGCCATTTGCCACTATTCTTTATACACAGAAAGTCATCAACAGGTGCAGAAATTTAAGCTTTTTCCCAGATCTTCTTCGTGCCGTGTACTGAAATATTCATTTATGATGTCGGACTTTTCCCGCGGTACAGGTCATTGAGGTAATGCGCAGGATTTGTCTCAGAATCCGTGAGCTTCCGATGCTAGGGATATATCTCAACATTACGTTGTAAAAATCTTTCCACAACGAATTATAAAGCTTTGTATAATACTTGAGGATAGAAGATATATTGCTGATGTGCACTGCTTTTTGAACATCCACCATTATGAGCTTATTCATAACGAATAATTGGCTTAGAGTTCCCCCAGCACTATCAGCATCAATCCTTGTATATATCAATTATCTGCCAGACCTGCAAGAGCTTTTTAAAGAATGGTTGAAAGTTTTGAATGTTCTGTACAGCCCGAAGCACTTCATTCACGAGATTATATAATATTTTGCCACAAGTCTATATTCCTTTAACATATAGCACGGTGGGCACTACACTCGGTGTTTATGACTCAGCTGTACCGTGACACCATGACAAGGATGAGTATCCTCCAGTCTTCATAAAATCTCACACTGGAGACCACGATACTCGGTCGTCTTTCGCCTACTCAGTAAAGGAACTTTTTAGAAAATTACATTAAACCTGTCCTTATTCATCTCAACAAGGGCATTCCCGTCAAACGGTAGCTTGCTTCGTTTCAATCTGGTTCCTATTTAACCACGGCTCACAGCCGCCAGTGCCCTGTTTTTTGCACAAGTAACCTCGCAATATTGCTGCCGAGCATTTCAGAAATTCCCATGGCGTGTACTTAAGATGTCGCTGCTTCTTGTCCACATTCACAGCGCCTCATTTTTCTAGCATCTGTCGGCTTACGACTCATCAAAGCTTCACAGCGATGCGAGACATATTTTCTTTGACTTATAGAGGATCCAAGAATCGTAGCGTTTTCAGCATGGCCAAACATAAGCAGGATATCAAAATTAAATTCGAATCCAGGATCCAACTGCGTTCAAGACGTTCTTGAATAATATCTGCTCTTGGCAAACTATAGATCCTCGTATATTCTTAACAACCTGCTGCAGTAGTGCGCCACACTTAGTTGCACAACGAATTAACGCACTAATGCTCATAATGTGTTCTCATCATAATCTCGTACACTGACGCCAAAGAACAACAGATTGCGACTAGGAGAGATACCTCTACCTACAAAGTGATGCTTTGTTTAGGGATGGACTCCATTGTCTTCAATCTCCACGATGGAAAAAACATTTTTTTGCAGGTGTGTCTTGCGCAGTTAAAGAACGACTGTTTGCCCGCGTGGGGACTTTTGATCAGCCAGCGTGAAAGATTAGGCATTTAGTTGGGAGAAAATAGATACAACTCGCGTAAGTGCTTGATACTCCAGTTGGTGTGACACCTGCGGTTACCAAGGTAATGATCAAAATTATTAATGCACTCGCGTCAAACTCAACCCAGCTAAGATTTATCGCCTCTGAGCCGCAGTATCCACTCTCCAACCGGCCATTGCGGATGGCAAATAACTGCAACGCTCAGTGCTTCAACAATAAAGGTTAGATGCAAGTAGAAAATCTTGTTTGGAGGTGTACTTGTACTAAAATTTTTATAACGGTAACTGTTATCAGTTTTGAGAAAGGGTGTACAGTCATTTCAACTATGGGGCGAATGAAGAACATGGCGTGTCGAAGGCCGTTTTTGAGGAGGCCAACTTTGAGCGCTGCTCCGCCAAATCAGACCGAATGGAAGCACCACAATTCATGAGAAAGCAAAACTTCTTCTCTCGACACAATCACCACAATAAGATCCATTGGCTCCGGATTTCCGGTAGCAGCAGTCACTGCTTTCATTGGGTTGACCGATTGACCACATGCTTGACACTAACAGCCTATAATCCTCACGCAACATAATCATTTACAAAGTCGCACAATGTGCTGCTGTCTTATTGACATGGCAAAAACTTTGACCGTTTTCGAAATGCCACATTCGGCGGAAGGAACATCGACTCCATGGCCTTTCTCAACTCTTGCCATGTGACAAAGTAGCCAGAAATCCACTTCCCATGTCATCGCATGTGATTTATAGAGCTTCGAACATCGTAGAGCACAATTATTTAGCATCAGTAATGCTAGAGCTAAGTTTTAACAACATTACTTTTAAGATCAGATAAAGAGCAAAGTAGTTCCAAGTTATTGGAGAGGCACTCGGGTCAATTCCAGGGTGGAGCGTACAAGCCCCATTCTACGCGCGCTGTTTACGCAGATTCTCCGTGTCAAAGTTTCTTCTGTGCGAGGTGCGCGGCAATATACACCCGTCTTCATCCTTGGATCCAAGGGGAGCGTGAACATGACAGAATCTTGCCCTATTGGTACGTATGAGATATGATGTGACTTTCGTAAATCGTGATATTCATTTTTGCGATTAGAATCCTTACAGTCTGGATCTACCAAAACTCAACACTATTTGTTCATAACAACAGCTTTGATTGACAAGTCAAACGCCACATTAGTCAGCTTGTCACTCTTGATCCTGCTCGTGCTTTCCATCGACGTGTTTTTGCAATTTTCTCCTCTACAGCTGAACTTGCTTAATTGGCTGCTTGATTGTCAATCTCTTTGGTCATAATCCATTTTTCTTCACAATATGTGCCCCACATCATAAATGATGTCCCTACATAACAATCCTAAAATTGAGTGGTCGAGATAGACCATGTATCATTCGTCCAATGGCTTCGTACGAGATACCAAGTGTTGATGTTAATACTCATGGATGGGGTCCCACGACGCTTCCTGAGCAATTTCTTAATATTCCATACGCACCTTTTAGCAAAGGCGACAAATTAGGCAAAGCCGCCGACTTTGTTTCGAATTATGCGCCACGTGGCTCTCGTTATGCTCGTGATCCGTCAGGTGTAAATGCTGAATTCCAATACAAACACGATTCCAAAGAAGATGCGACGTTTCAGCTAGTCGATACGTCCAAGGGTACGCGTCCTCGGACTGAGGATCGATTACGTCCAACTTGGAATCAACAACGTTTTGGTGGACGTGGTGGACGTGGTGGTCGTGGTGGACGTGGGACGTACACTGACAAACCGGATCCAAATGGTCCTACTACATCCTCTGCACAGTTACGTATGAAAGGTATGCAAAAGCAAAACAAACGTTGGGATCGACTTAGCAATGCACGTCGTGCATTTACATTGCGTCGTCGCGAAGAGGTTCAAATTGATCGTGTGGCTTCCGTTTTGATTCAATCGAGTTGGACTCTTGTAGATCAATTTGAATTGCAACAACTGACAAAGTTACAAGCGAATATTCCGAAAAGTGAAGATTTAAAATGGTGTGGCGAATTGTGCGAGTTTGACACTGCATTTGATCGAATTACGAGTCGTACAAACACTCGTGTCCATCGGTATGACGATCGAGATTTTTATTATGTCACGACTACAGATGATCCTGTAATTGAAGGATTTGCACAAGAAGGAAAAGCGACAGTCTTCGCTACAGATGCAATTTTATCGCATCTTATGGTGTGTACGCGCTCGGTCTTTCCATGGGATATTGTAGCTCAACGTGTGAACAATATGGTGTTTTTCGATAAGCGAGATGCATCGACATTTGATCTTTTGACTGCCAATGAAAACGCGTCCGAGCCACCAATTGAAGAAGATCCAGATCATATCAATCATCCTGATCGATTAAGTCTTGAAGCTACAATGATTAATCAAAATTTATCTCAACAAGTGTTAAAGAACGACAATTGTCAAAAGTTTGATGATTCAAATCCATTTGCTAGTGACGATGCGAAACCTGCGAGTGGAGCGTATCGATACCGAAACTTTGATTTGGGCACTGGATTGAATTTGATTGCACGTTGTGAAGTACAAAGTGTGGCAATGAAGAAAGGCACAAAAAATTATGTTTCAACGTTTGCTTTGAATGAATATAATCCAAAATTTCCGGGAGCAATTGATTGGCGAAAGAAAATTGATTCACAGGTGCGTTTACTTTCGATATGAGTGTCAAAGGCTCTTTCTTGTAACTTATGAGTTATGTACGGGTCTCAATGAATGCCAACATATTTGATATATACGCTATTCCTATCTTTTGATGCGGAAATTAATAATTAAGGAGAGACCCGTCTACTCAAGATCTTCATGTCATGTTGTTTTCTTGGAATTCCTTACTCACTTTGTTTTTCTGTGTTTCTATATAGCGTGGTGCAATCTTAGCGAATGAATTAAAGAACAATGCATTCAAATTAGCCAAGTGGACAGCTCAAGCACTTTTAGGTGGTGTGGATGAAATGAAATTGGGTTATGTCTCACGTTTGAATTTCAAAGATCCGTATGCACACGTGATTCTTGGTGTTCAGTCGTATAATCCCAATACGTTTGCAACACAAATTGCATTGAATCAGAATAATACATGGGGAATTATCAAGATGCTCTCGGAACTTTTACTGGAACAACCCGAGGGCAAGTATGTCATCATGAAGGATCCAAACAAGCCCATCTTACGTCTCTTCTCTGTGCCGCTCGACACTTTTGAAGACGAAGGTGAAGATGAAGAAGATGAAGATGAAGAGTGAGTGAGGAAGGGGTAGGAGAAAAATCCATTAAGAGGGTACGTTTTATTTCTTAAATGCGTTTCATTGAATGCCGCCAGTTACGCACGGGGTCGTTGCCACTGTCCAATTTTAAAAGACGGAGAAAGTAGAATATTGACTAATGTTCTCATAAGGTTCTTAAATAACAGCGGTAATACTGCATCTTAACCATAACTTTCACCTATGAATAATGACATGCGATTTAAGAGAAGAACTGTCGAACATTTGGTAATTTACCCATCACATGTGAATGAATGGATAGAAATTCGTTGCTCTCGTGACTGCTGCATAATCCGATTCTCAGCTGAACCAAGTATTTACTCATGATTTATGGTGTTTCTTGTTTACACTATCGTAAAGGTGAATCATAGACGTAAGGACGTAGTTTTACCATAGAGTAGATTCAATAAGATGAGCGTGTATTAACTCTTGATCAAGAAAAAGAATATGTATGACGATTGATTACGATACGAATTGTCTGATTACAAAGGCATATGCATGAATAGTGAGTATCGTATGATACTAATGGACGGCATTTGAAAAGCTTGAATGAATGGATTTTACAGTGGACAAACGGTAGAGCATAGGAAAAATCTCAAGAGCAATATATGACATTTAAGAGGATCTTTGTTTATAAATATCATGCTTAAAAGTAACAATAGAAATAGATGAGACCAACGTTGTTTTAGCCCAGACGTTGTACATTGCCCAATTCTTCGTCTAGATGAAGAAAATCCAGCAGTCACGTAACGCTATGATCGTGAGAACGAAACGTAATTGTGTCAAGTATATGATGTTGAGTGATTCTTGCTTTAATTATGCCTTTAAAAACTTATTTTTGCATCATCTTGTAGTAAAATTATTACTAAAATAACATCTGAGCATATTGTACCGGTACGGCCAAACGACGTTTTAAAAAAGCTGTACCGTTTCCGTACCAGAGTTTCAGCACAAATTGAACGGCCAGTCTCTTGGTCGGTCTTTTCAAGCCAAGAGTGTATGTTACCAGGTGGTGGTGGTACCAATGGCACACAACCCACTACTTCCAAGATGGTACACTCTGTACTTGACTTTCTAAAGTTCTTCCGATTGAAAAACGCACTCATTTTATTATTGTGGTTGTTCGAGTCAGCAAAAAAGAGTCAGCTCACGTGTTTGAGACGTTGTCGACTAGTGACAAACGTTAACGGACATTGAGTGAGACGTTTAAAGCATTAAGTTTCAAGAGAAGAAAGTGATGCAACAGCGTCTTACATTTCGACGTACTGGTCACGAAGCTATGAGTTCTGATATTCATCGACTTGTGGATATACGTCAAGACCTCTGGTCTGGTTTCAATACTCGATTAGCAAGTACTTTGAGTACATTTAAGCGTGAAAATGTTGACAAGAGTGAACGAGATGAAGACATGAATGTGGTTTTTGATCGAGAAATGAATGATACGAATGTTTCATCATCATATGAACGTGTACGATGTAAGTCTGCTATCTCATCCGAAAGTTGTGAAAATGAACAGATTTCCGAAGACACGACATTATTAAGTGCAGCTCAAAAAGCAGGATGTTTTAGTTACATTAAGCGACGATATAGTATCGCTATTGCTTTTGCCTCGAACGAACCATCTGAAGAATTTCGTGAACCAAGTAATATTTCACCTGCTGATGAAAGTGTGCATGAAGGTTCAAATTGGGAAGCTATTAAAGCAAAACATGGCGTTCAAATGTTTAAATCGAAACGATCACGATGTGAAGTACGAGGAGTGACGCATGTGAATGCTTCTGTCAAGAATGTCATGACGATTTTAGCAGCTGGAGAGAATACTGAGATCTTTGCTGCAGCTCAAAAGACAATTTTAGGTGCTGATCAAGTGATTGAAGCCAAAGTCTTAGCATCGTGTGCACCATCAACAAATTCTCGTTTCTTTCATTGTGGTTTGAAATATTTGGCAATTAAAAATCCATTTGGTACAGCACCGTTAGATCTTGTTTATCTTGACTATACGGATGTTAAAACGACAAAAGATGGGAAATTAATTGGATATCGAATTCTTGAGTCAATTCGTGTACCGGAATTACGTGCTTCATCTAAGTTTGTGCGTGCTTCTATACGATGTGAAGTCTATACTGTCGTTGAGACAGAGAGTCCTGGTGTTGTCGAAGTGACGTTTGCATCGCATCTTGATCCAAAGAGTAAATGTGCATCGAGTAAACGATCATTATGGCTTGAATTAGCTGGATTACGTCTAGCAAATATACGTAGTCATGCTGAAAAAACAAGTATTGGACATCATCTTGCACGTGAGAATCCGGATGAGATGATTCGTCGACATCGTTCATTTACAAGTGGAGATAAAGATAAACAACAACGAAAATGTAATGTGTGTCAACATACGTTTTCATTCTTACGTAAGCGTCACGATTGTCGTCTCTGTGGAGAAGCAAGTTGTGGACGATGTTGTCGAAAGATGCCAGTACTTGTTGAGACCGAGTCGATACGAGTTAAAGTGTGTTTAAGTTGCATTTTACACTCGAGAAACAATCCAGATGAGATTCGACGTGGAGAACTTGGACAATCTTCACGTCGTCGAGATATTGGCAATTCGACATTTATTATCTACGATGAGTAACGAAGAAAGAAGCGGTTAAGTATAAAAACAAAGGAAGAATATGATTCAAATACGAATCAATGTCGACGCAAAGTTTTGACCATTTATACGTCTTTTGAAAGAAGAGAGACGGATTCATCACGTGAATGTTCTATAGACTGTGCTGATAGCGGGTGCATTTTTCATTTAAGCGGGAGAGAAAAGTCGAGTTTTGATGCTTTAGTTTGCCGTTTACGAATGGCGTACCTTCATTAACAATCAAATCCAATAATCTTGTGACGTCTTAGTACATTCCCTCATCACTATGCTGTTCTTAGATGTTTCAAATACATTAAGAAATTCACGCTTATGATTTCATCTGAAATGCATAGAAGTAGTTAGAGCGCGTTCCAATTAAACAATACTGATCAACAATCACAGGTGATCCAAACAATGGGCCAAGCTCCTCTTCATAGCTTTCATCTTGAACTAAATCATTGCATCTCTTTCCAGATGACTGACGAGTTTGATAAATTATAGATCCATTGTTTTCGTCACAAAAGTACAATTGACCAGTTGTCGTGGTCACACAACAAATCAATTTTCTCTCTTCGTTTCTTGTCTTCAATCCATTAAAAGACCTTTCAATGAGTCGAAGAACCGTCGGAGATGAAAATACTGCACCGTGTAGATTCGTGACCCACACAACGGCACCAGTACGAACATTCACTTTTCTTAACTTGCCATCATGAGAACCAAAGACGACAAATTCTGAATGATAGACGCAAGGAGAGCTAAAAATTGGTTTCTCCGTTTGAACTTGCCAGACACATATTCCTGACATAGTATTGACTCCATAAAGTTTTCCATCTGCACAACCAACGAGTAAAATATTGGATTCTCTGTCGACATTTAAGCCTGCAAATATTGGAGCAGGAAGTTTGAGGTTCCAGTCTTGAATCATGTTACGAGAAACACTAGAAGATGGTAATATCAAACATTCGACATTTCCACTGGTAGAGGCGACAAAAATTTGGTTCGACCATTCACAATAATAAGCAGGTGAGAATAAATTGCCGTGAAGATGAATGACCCATTGTAAGTGACCTACAATTGTATCCAGTGCGTAGAAATTCTGATCATAAGCACCAAAAAGTACGAGATTGTGAGAATCGATGACAAGACTAGACGCTTTGATTTCTCCCTGAGCTTGAAATTTCCACTGTGTCTTGCCAGATTGCAAGTCTAAAGCATATAGAGAACCTGCGTACGTCCCAATATACACGAGTTCATGTTGAAGACTAAGTGCTGCACTTGCTTCGATTCGATTGTCCAGTCTCACTCGCCAAATCTCTTGTCCACCAGCCAGTACATTCACACAAACAACTTCACTTGAATGTGATCCGATTATCGCCCATGTGGAATTCACATCATGTTTATAATCATGACGTTGCACTACAAGCGGAGATGCATCAATACACGCACTTAAATCCACGCGCCACGCTTGGTTTAATTCGAAACAACTTGATCCAGAAGCTGAGCATGTAGTCAAAAGAGAGCATGTTGGTAAATACATACCATTATCACCTTGAGATGATTGATTACAGCGAGCGAGAAAGCTCAACGTTCTTGACCCACTTATCTTGCCGCATTCCTTAGAACTGAAGCCTTCTGAAGTAACATCATGCTTCATCTTTTGACGTTTCAAATCACTTTTAACTACGTCTTGAGGATATAAAGTTGAGTTTTTATTCGTCTCCTTGTCGGTAATTGACGAAGATTCGTGCGATGTATTCACGATAGACAGAATCTCATCAATCGTCATATTTAACTGCACAATACACGAGTAAGAATCTGTACATTGTAGACAAGATCATACAGTGTACGTACCAATTCTTGAGCAGATAGAACGAACGCACCGAAAGCTTGACGAAGCTCATGAAGAAGTAGCGTTGACGATAATGAATCACCACCCAATTCTGCAAATGTTTGTATTCGCTCATTCTCGGAAAGCGAAATATCAAAGATGTTCTCAAATATTTGTAATAGACGCACTTCGATGAAGCTTTTGTACTCAACATTGCTTACGGTTGTCACTTGTCGCTCAGTTTTGCGCTCAAGAATCTTTTCAAGTGCTTGACGGTCAAGTTTTCCGTTCGAGAGTCGCGGAATTGTGTTTGGAGACAGTAAAAAGACGTCGTGAGGTGCATGTGACGCCCCGTAATGTGCAGTGATCCATATATTAAGCGCTTTGGTCCATGAGTATCGAGCAATCAAGTGACTCTTTGCGCTTTTACAAGCTATACAAACCACGATACGCTGTTGACTCAGTAGGTTATGTTTCTTGCTATTTGTCGTCGCTATTGCAAGTGCTATGATCTCTTCAGCTCCATTTACTCGAGTGTCGTTTAGGTTTTCTCGTAACGCCATCGCTACTGCATATTCGACTGCTTTTAAATACACTCGATGTCCATGAATGTTAACTGCGTCATCTTGACGTCCACAATAATACAAATGATCTTGAATCACACAGCAAATGTCGCCAGTACAAAACCACTGCTTTTGTTGGAGTGTTATATATCCTTCGAGGTTGTACCCCTCACAAACATATCCGATAGAGAGCAGTGGACCCGATACATACAGAACTCCTTTTGAAACGTCTGTGTTCGAACTAGAGTGAGTGCTTGGTTTCCTTGGCCAAATGATTGATCTTGCAAGTGTTTTGTCATCCAGAGCTAAAGTAGTTGCCAGTTCGTTATCTGCTACGAGCATTAAAGACGTTGCTTGACCAATTATTCCAAATTGATCCAATTTAGCGATTGGAATGCCATAATGGTGCCACCTTTCTAGCTGATCGGGTGGAAATGGTGCTTTAAACTCCATACATGTAACATCACCGCTCATTTCTGTACTACCTGCGAGAAGAAGAGATAGAAAATGTATCATAGTTTACTTGAAATGAATCTGAACATTTTACCTTACCGTAAAGATTCAAAATCGTCACGTTTGGAAGTTGCGTTGTAAATTGCTGTAATAGATGAAGACGTAATGGTTCGCCACTGCTGAGTATGTATCGTAGCTTTCGAAAAGCCAATTCGCGATCATGTTGCGTAGTTTGTAAAAAAAGAAGTTCAAGTACACTTGGTACTGCAGTCAAACGTGTTACATTTTCCTTTAAAACGACATTTAAAAAGCGTGTACTATTGTCAACAACAACACTTTTGATCAACGTCATTGAAATGTCATGACTTTGAGACCGTGGAGACTGTAAATGAATGAGAGGTACACGCTTTAGAAACGCACCTAAAATTTCCCACACCGAATCGACAAATGATAATTTTGTAGCTCGAAGTACTCGCTCAGTTGATATGTCGCTCGATTCAAGTGTAGCAAATGGATACTCTGTCCACATCCATTGCAAACGCCTCCAAGCACCTAATCGCGTTCCTAACACACCTCGAGGTTTACCTGTCGTTCCTGATGTTAAGAGCATATACAATGGCGTTTCAATTGTCTCTTTTGTCGCTCTCACGCTTTGAATCCATTGACTATCTACATTTTCCTCATCAAAATCAAACGATTGTTGAAATTGAATAACTTTCACAGGATTAAAAGGACTTGCTTTAAGCGTCAGTAGTTTAGTCTTGATATGTTTTGAAACGAAAGATTCCGAGAGTAGACTCTTGGCTGTTGTCACAAGATATTGAACACCTGCTTGCTGAAGTAAAGATCGTTGTTTACTTATACAAAGCTCGATATCAATTGGCACATAGATCCAATGTAGCTCTTTAGCTATGAGTAACATTGCAATTGACTCCTCGATCGAAAACGGGGTCAAGTTAATTCCTATAACGAGCCACTCATCACGACTACCAAGTACGCTCCTCAATTTCTCTTGCCATTCATAAATCTGAGCATATGATATCTCGACTCGTCCGTCTGCTGTTTGTACTAGCGCCACTTCATCGCTCTCTCGACATTGTCTCCATAGCTTTTCGAGACATTGACATAGTGCCATGAAAGATGATGGGTTTTAAAGTAATGGGTTGAAAAGCGATGGTTAAACCCACCCACTTCTAAACATTAGAATGGATAGTAATTCTAGATTTGACATTGCCAAATTATTTGCGAGTTGATTATACTATAAATAAAGTCATATATTTATTGGAGGTGATTTAATCGCCTGCACAGAACTCAATTTATACCAATGACGGAGAGAATAATCTCTTTCGTCGTTTCTAATACAACTGTAATATATACGAAGAATATTACTGTGGCAATGACATGACTATCACAACTTCGATGCTACACAGTACCCTTCAAGTGGAAACACTATGAGTCTTACAATCATTAATATCTATTTCGCGAGACAGGATTTTTAGTCAGTCGTTTGTCTACTTCTAGGATTAGATAGCAGATGCACACCTGACCAAACTTTGAACGCGGATCGTTAAATCGTATCATTAGACCGATGCACAAGTGAAAAGTGCTTCGTAAGGCTCACCATCCGAAATTCGTGTGCAATTCCAGATTTTGAAATGATATTGCATGCTGTTTAGCACAATTGCGTATCCCTTGGGTTGAGATTTTAATCCAGCGATCTGCCTCACCCTAGTCCTGGTCTGTCGTTTTTGACGTCACTGTCATTGTCTTCGCCACTCTGACAGAAAAACCATAATATCCAGAGCAGAGCTTAAGTTAGTGTAATTAGAACTTTCAATTATAACATTGGCTTTGACATATACACGAGAATGTTGCAGAGCTTGTGACACAAAAGAAGATAGTACGCTTTTTCCATCATCCAAAAATGATGTTTGTCCCCACCCTTAAGTAGAGAAGATACTTGCGAAGTTTTGCCTAACGAAGCTCAGCAAGCGAGAAAGCGAAGCAAATTTTTTCAAGAAACATTCTAGATCGAGGGAGCAAATAACTTCACGAGTATTCACTGAGAAACCAAAGGATGTTGCATCACCACTCAGCGTGTCAAGCTAGCTTCTCCGCGAAATATTGTGGATACCAGCACGGAAGCATCAAAATGCCGATCCTTTTTTTGTCCAAGCGGCCAGGTGAACCGTTCAGATATGATGTCAATGTGTAGCGGGCTTGACGTACTCACGATCATGGCTTCGCGAATGATCATTGGCTTAATGCAGCTTCAGGGCAAAGTTGTTCGTATAATTGTATCAGCTAATTTTTACTACATAAGACCAAATTTAACAAATTTTTCGTTTTGATATGCAATTTGCTGTATGCTTCTACACTGAAGACTGTCGCCACTGAAACTCCGAGTCATCGCATGAACACACAGGGTTGTTTCAAATCTGAAATACAGGATTTTCCCGATCCTAATTATGGTTACCAACACATTCTCAAAGTGCGAAATGCCACCTTGATTGATCGCGAAGATTGAAAAGTCTCAGCTCTAGAAATTTGTAAACCTCTTCGAGATGATTGTCTTTGTCTTTGTTTCCTTAGGAAGAAAGCAACAAGCGGAAATTAACGATGCGACCTAGCTTGAGGCAAGACCTTAGTTGATGAATAAAGCATTAGAGCTATCTGAATAACTTTAAGATATCTAAAAGATATCTTTCAATCCAAATGAAACCAACCGGATTTTACTACTTACAAATTATAATCAAATCTGCACAGAGGTTTGCGCAGTATCTAAATTTGGCTGTGCTATGAAACTACGGCCAATATTAGATTTCCATGAGCTCCTTATCGACGCTCTTACAAAAATTGTACCTGTGTCGCCATGAAGAATCTTCGAGAACTTCAAGATCGAACTTTTATTCGGAAACGACCAATGTTTATTACATAGCACCAGTCAGCGCATTTATATATGCTGCAAGGATCCACTCCTCAATAAAATCTAATAACATATCAATGCTGTGATTGGTGGAAAGACGTGATGAGAGCGTTGCTTGAAGTTGACAGAGCTTCATGGCTTCTCGCAGCCAAAGTTGGCATTCATTACCCAAATCGTCTTCTAATACGCAAACGTTCTTTCACTCCAAAATTATGGGCAAATCCGACGTGTACAGCTCCCCAATTGTCTTTTCCCAAATGGACCTGCGGGTAGGCAAGATCACCGATGTAAAGGCTCATCCCACTTCCGAGCGTCACTACATTGAGAAGGTAGCGATTGGCAAGGGGGAAGAGCTTGAGATGGTTATGGAGCACCAGCCGTACTTTGCTGAAGAAGAGCTTGTTGATCGCAAAGTTGTGGTGCTTTGCAACCTTAAGATGGTGAAAGTGGCACGTCTGCGCTCCACAGGTACCATTCTGCTGGTAACCAACGAAAAAGGCAAGGTTGAGCTTTTGGAACCGAGCCCAGAGGCTGAGGTTGGTGAGCGTGTGTACGCTAGCGGCGAGGAAATGCACGATCCTGTGACAGCTATTCAAATGAAGAAGAACAAGGTTTGGGAGACATTATGCAAAGATATCAAAACCAACAATAAGTGCGAAGTCATGTACATGGACCGGTACCCAGTGCGTTCACGAGCCGGCCCTGTGCATGTCGAGTCGCTCAAGAAGGTGCTTGTGGCCAAATAAGCGACAAGCGGCTGGTCCTTACGCTGATTGCAATTGAGTTACAACTAGCGTGGATACTTTGGTCCATTGTCCTTTCGAGAAAATAGTAAAATAAAAAATGTATGTGTTACTTGTGGTTATCGTAGTGTTATTGTACGTGGAAATGATAACTTCATCTGTGATACTTTTTAAATTCTAAAAATTACAACTTCATTTAAGCTTAAGACGCATCAGCAAAGATCTTATTGTCTGAGACCTTTTGTTCTGTTGTTTCAATTGCAAGCAAGTGCTGTTATGAATATCATGATGATCCGGGACATCGCACATATTGGACCATTGTCGTGCGAGTAACTCATCACCGACAGCTGCTTATATACAGCAATATAGTATTGATTGCATAAATTAATACGAATTTGCTTTTATATATTTTTCTCCCAGTTACACATGCCAAGATTGTGTGAGTTACTCGGCTCACGATCCGATGTGATGTACGAGTGCATGTACACCAAGCACAAGACACAGAAGCGCAAGATCTGGCAAGATGGATTTATTGTACTTGACGCTTCACGCAAACTTGTTGTGTACGCTGACGATGATGGAAAGGCAGGGAAATCCATTGATGAGGCCAAATACATTCTAACTGATTGGAATCACAAGAATGAAGAGTACTTTGAGACTTCCAAGTAAGTCTCATGCTTTCTGATTGATAAATAAAGCGAGAAAACTGCTGACGTAGGGCTACTGGCTAAATATGAAAAGATTTCTTGTGGAAATAGTCAATGAGTCGCCCATCAGCTCCATTCGATCATCTCAGACATCACACTCAGCTGGCGCAAACTGTTATAGCGCTGAAGTTGCAAATTCAGTCGATTTAACAGCCGCAAATGATGCTCAAGTATGTGTAAGGCCCTCTGCTAAACTCGGAGATAGGTCACGCCTTT